TTCTCAGCACCAACAAAAGTGTGAAACACACATAGCAGCGTAACGTATGGATCTGCAGACCAAAAAGTAAATTACAGTTGTCAAAAACTGTTTCGTATTATGTGCAATTCCAATTTTACTTTTTATTTGTTTGAATAGAGGGAGAGATAATACGCCCCGACGAGTTGCAGTCAGTCGAGTTTCGATCTTAACCCTTGCGGTGTAATTCCGAAAAGAATAAAATTTAAGAGATACTAGCTACTAGAGGTAATTCAGAAATATGGGATAAATAAACTAAGAACAATCATAATTAATTTGCCAAAAAAGTGCGTCACTTTCTCTTTTCTTCGATAGTAAAAAAAACTCATACCCAAAATAATGGCGAAGAAGAGGATACGAGGATACGAGAAATATAACAAAATAGAGACATAAATTTAGGATAACAATGCTCAACTTGGGACAATTTGACACCAATGATCATCATAATGACCGATCATTCCAATAGTTTGGTTGCAACATTTTCTTACTTTTTTATATTGATGACTTTATTATAACTAGATGATGATTATTTTGCTTTTTCCAATTTCAGGCCTATTTAGAAGTGTTATTCAACAAAGTGGATCATCAATATCCGGTGTCTTTTATCCAACAAACGACAGAGAACTGGCATTCGAATTTGGCAAAGCACTAGATAGTTCATTTACATCAACAGAATCAAGTGATTTATTAGATTTGTTGCAGCAAGCAGATTATTCAGATTTAGTAGAGCTTCACAATAGGGTAAGTACATATTTATTCTAATTTACTGTTGCTATCAGTATCACTAAATGACGATTTTACCATACCTAGTGACCTAAATCGTGAATAATTAATCTTAGAACATTGGTACACAACAGGCTTGAAGGCACCGTTTCTCAGTCTGGCTAGTCATTTCTTAGAGGTGAAAAACATAAGAAAGAAAAGATACTAAACAAAAAAATTAAATTAAGGAAGAGTCTTCAAAAAAGAATATGCGTCACTATATATAATATATATATATATATATATAATATATATATATATAATATATATATTTGAATTCCAAAAAACAACAATGGGATATACCCCGATTAAGGAGAAACAATGCAAATATCATTAAAATAAAAAAGTAAAACAAATAAAATTCACTGTAAAGTCAAAGTTCTTATGCTGAATGCTGGACGCATTGTGAATAAAATAAAAGCAATATTATGCAATGGAACACTGGTGTAGAAATTCGAACTAGAGTTTTGAGAGTATTCTCTGCCAGCCATTCAAAGCCAGCTTTGAGAAGTCGTGTTATCGAAATACGAAAACACTAAAAAAGATAAAAAAAAAAGAAGAAGCAAGTCTCAAACTCTAAAGGAAAGAAAAATGAGCTACTTTGGCCACATACTAAGAAATGAAAAATATGAGTTGATGTAATTGATTATACAACGGAAAGTGGAAGAAAAAACAAAAATTAGGGAGATGACACACGTCCTGGTTAAAAAATTTAAAGCAGTGGAGTGGAAAACCAACAGCAGGACTATTCAGAACTGCTACTGAAAAAGTAAAATGGTCCGTGAATATCGACAATGTCCCTAAAGGAAGAGGCACACAAAAAAAAAGAAGAAGACTTAATTATCAAGAAGTACGAGTCCTAATTTTAGAAGATTTTGCCTTGTACACCAGTCAAATACAATTACAATCGTATCGACGAAGAGACGAAGCATAAAGTAAAACTGTGAAAACTGTACAGTAATTGAAATAAAGAGGACATATAAAAAAATAAATACATTTCAACTGAGATATAAAATTAAATTGTGTAACTTAACCAACAAAGGCAATGACACAAATTGTAGCTCCTTCAGCAACGGACGAAAACGAATATTTACAACTGAAGTAATTTAAAATAAAAAGATAACCAGAGTTGGCCCATTTATAAGAAGATATTCAAATTACAAAATACCATTTGGTGGGTAGGTGGTCTAAATTTTGACGGAACTATTAGAGCTGTCGGAAATGAACTACATCTAACGGAAACTTGGATCTTATAGTGAGACTTCTAAATGATACTTATCCTTATTTAAAATGTGGATGTACCGCCGAATGTTAAAAATAAGCTGGACCAGCAGAACTACCAATGAAGAAGTACTGAGAGTAATGAACACACGCCCTCATCTGGTTAATACTATCAAAATTAGAAAGACGTCATATCTAGGACACATAATGCGCCATAGGGAATTTGAGCAGCTCCAGCTAATATCAAAAGGCAAGATTGAAGGTAAAAGGGCCATAGGACGAAATAATAAATCTTGGCTACGAAACATCAGAGATTGGACCCCCACAAGAGGAAATGAATTAATTCTTCTTCAAGCCCAGAACAGAAAGAAATTTGGGTTTATTAGGGCACTTAGGAGGAGGAGGCCCCAATAATACCATTCTCCAGAGTTGCGAACACGGGACAGAAAAAGATCCACAATAGCTTCCGTAAACAATTATGTAGTAGTAACGGTGAAGTCATAGAAACGGAAACCAAGAATTTTTAGAAATAAAGAAGACGCGCTAATCCAGCAAACAACCTGGATGTACAGTAATACATGTATTAAGACACTTATAATGAATTTATACATTTCTAATATAAATAATTTATTTCTTTTTAGTTTACGTCTGGTAGAACATCGGGATTTATGGATGCCTTAACCTTTAAGCCAGTTCTTGAAAATGAATTAAACGAGGATGCTTTTATTACTGGACCCATGCATGATGCTGTATTGAACGGTGATTTTAATTTAGTTCCTATTCTTATCGGACTAAATTCTGAAGAATCTTTGATGTTTTTACTAGGTATGTGTGTATTATTTTATAAAATAAGTATCAATTCACTTCATCATCGTTCAAGTTCAAGTTCATCATAGCGATTTACAATCACGATTTTTCTCGACATTTGAAGTTTATGATTCAAAGTTCTTACCAAAAAATAGAACTTATTTATATTCTTCAATATATCGTTTATATTATAGTTAGGTAAAAAGAATTATAGAAAATTGGATTAGGCATATATATTATAATCTGTGTACTCGAAACAAGGACTATGTGAGTGTCCTGAAGTACTTTCCATTAGCTGTTAGCAAGTTATAGATGTAGTGTTAATATGTCTAAAATTAGTAAATGCCATTTAATCCCTTCTATTACCAATATTTTATTTAAATATTATTTGTTTTGCAGAAATTGACTCAGAAACTATTGAAGAAAGAGGCAGACTTCTTGATCAAAGTCCAAAAAATCTTGTATCTCGCTCTCTTAATATAGACGAAGAAGAAAGAGAGAATGTTGGACGGCGTTTAAAAGAATTTTACACTAACTCTTCTTTTACAGAAGATATAAACGGTTTATACAAGGTAAGAAATTTAAACGTAAAAATTGTTTATGCGAGTTATGGCAAAAAATAGGGATCCATAAATATTTACCAAATCCGTTGATTCAGAAATATGTGATTTTTTCCTGAATTTGTTCATGGATTTTCGACAGAAATTTCCAGTATGAAATGACTTTCAGTAATAGTTATTGGTTTATTAGTATTAGAGCACCAATTCTTCCACATTCGTGGATATTGTACACCGGATCGTACTAGACAGCTTCTTTGGGTGTTTCAATTTATGGCTAAATAAATCACATTTCCTACTTAAAATTTAATTATTGAAACTAGTTACCCTCTCTAGTTGTATCATAAAAATATAAAGTGATGGTTAAAGTCATGGTTTTATTAACTAAATCGTTTAATTGTCTTATCCCGTCTACAAATAATGTTGAATAAGTATTTAATGGAGTCCATGTGTCTCTTGCCGTGGATTAGAAAATTATCAGCTCAAGACAATATACCATTTTACATGTAACTCAAATATCCTAACTTTTCGCTTTTGTTGTATCCGGACATGTTTTTTTACTTTGCTTCTCTTCTTAGTTTAGTTGAAAATTATTTATTAACGACGACCACTTTTACATATTCTAGTTAAAATACGTCGTCTAATGTTGTTCGAAGAAATATAGTCAATGTCATATTAGATTCCAAGCATTCGTTATTAAGCAAGCGCTAGTTGCATACCGACAGAAAGATAGTATTTTAACTACTGATCTACAAGTGGAGATATTTTTAAAAAAGTCATAATGTATAAAACAGTGGTGATTAGACGGGGTGTAAATATTCCTATCCGCATTTCACGTCAAATAATTAAATAAAAAATACAAATGTATAAATACAAAATGAGTTATCTTGATCTGATATATCTGATTTATGTATTTTCAGTTCACTAGTGATGAAGTTTTTTCAAGATCAATAATACGCCAAGCTGAAACTGCCTCCCAATATGTACCTGTGTATCTATATGAGCTATCATGGTTAGCAGATAACAGCACCGATATAGGTAAGGATAAAAATAAAGCCAATTAATTCTTTTAAGTTAATTATTTAGTTCGTTTCACTTAGCGTTTTTATTGAATAGAAATTTAAATTTATATAATACTTCTTCTTCTTCTTCAAGTACCATCTCCACAGCGGAGGTCGGCAATCATCATAGCTATTCGGACTTTTGAGATGGCTGCTCTGAAAAGTTCATTTGATGTACATCCGTACCACTCTCTCAGGTTGCGCAGCCATGACATTCTACGCCTCCCTATGATTCTCTTTCCTTGTATCTTTCCTGTATAATCAATTGTAGCAGGGTGTATTTCTCTCCACGTGTAATTATCCGAAATATTCTAATTTTCTTGTTTTCACTGTATTTAAAATTTCCATTTCTTTATTCATTCTACTCAAAACTTCTTTGTTTGTGACGTGTTCTGTCCACGATACTTTCAATATTGTTCTGTACCCCCACAGCTCGAAAAATTCCAGTTTTTTCATTGATGTCGCATTCAAGGTCCAAGATTCTATCCCATAAAATAAAGTCGAAAAAACATACCACCTCGGCAACCTAACTCTTAGTTCCAGTTTTAAATCCCTGGTACATAGCACTCTTCTCATTTTGTTGAAATTTGCTCTAACCTTTTCTATTCTTATTTTGATCTTCTGATTGTAATAATTTGTGGAATTAATTATTGTTCCCAGATATGCATATTTGTTCACTTGTTCGACATTGGTTCCGTTTATTAGAAGATTCTCGTTATTTCTTTGAGTTTTCGATATTCTCATAAATTTCGTCTTCTTGACATTCATTGTTAGACCATATTCTTCTCCATACTCTGCTATTCTGGTCACTAGTCTCTGAAGATCTTTAATGTTTTCGGCTAAGATCACAGTGTCGTCCGTATATCTAATGTTGTTATTGGGAACTCCATTTACCTTTATTCCGGCTGTTTTACCCTCAAGAGCATTTTTCATGATATCTTCGGAGTAGGAATAAAAAGAATTGGCGACAATACGTATCCCTGTCTCACTCCACACTTCTTTGACTTCAGGACATTCAATAATTGTTTATGTCGTATTTTAACGAATGCTTTATTATAGTCAATAAAACATGCGTATATATATTGATTGACGTCCAGGCATCTTTGTATTAGTATATTAAGTGAAAAAAGAGCTTCACGCGTTCCTAGGCCTTTGCGAAAACCAAATTGTGTATCATTAACGTCTATGTTCTATGTTCAGTTTGTGATATTATTTGGTTATGGATGACTTTAAGTAGTAACTTTAGCATTTGAGACATCAAGCTAATGGTGCAGTAATCGCTGCATTCTCTTGCGTTTTTCTTTTTAGGGAGACAAATAAAAATCGATGTTAACCACTCTTTGAGTAATGCGCCTGAACTATAAATTTGGTTCAAGAGTGTCGCTAAAACATCAATGTGCTTCTCATCTAGAATTTTTACGATTTCTATAGGAAGCATGTCAGGACCAGGGCTTTTCCCACTCTTCATTGTTTTTAATGCGTGTAATATTTCTTCTTTTGTAACTTCTGACGTAAGTTCTATGTGCTCCAGATCTCCTCTTTCATCATATTATATATATATATATATATATATATATATATATATATATATATAATATATATATGTGATATTATATATATAAGGAAATTTTCATTTCCACCTATATTTTGCCCATTTATAGTTCACTAAAATATCTTTCCCTTTTACCCATCTCTGATTCTTAAGTGTTCTATATTCTTTTTTCATGTATGAATTGTAATTCTGATATCCCCTTTCAGTTTTTTTAACTTCTTTATAAAAGGACCGTAGTTATGTATTTTTTCTGAATTCTTTATTCTATTTCTTGTATTACTTTTTCGTTATATTCTCTTCTCTTTCGTGTATGTATCCTTCTTATTATTCTTGTTGATCTTTGTAATTCTGGTTTGTACTATTATTCTTATTTGTTAGTGCCAGTTATTGTCTTCATATTGTCTTTCCCTCTGCTACTTTAAGGCATTCTTTATCAAACCAATTCTTACTTGATTTCATTTGACTCTTTTAGCCACACACTTGCCATACTTTATTTCATAGATATAATTTCTTTTTATTATCTTCGCATAACTTCGCTTAACTTTTCTATATTATAACGATTTTTTTCTCTTTAAATTTGTTGTTATTTGATATATAACTTAACCAGAAAATGGTTCGCTTATTTTTCACCAATACGTGATCAATCTGATTAAACGTGCATCCATCGGGAGAAATGCAGGTTTCCTTTTGTATTTCTTTTCATTCTAACTGGGTAATTTTCACCACCATATTTTTTCCATCACAAAACTAATAGTCTTTGGCCACTATCATTTGAAACCATTATTATGACATTAAAACTACCATTATTTTAAAATAAAGGATATTAACATCTGATTATCAGATGTATCGTACGAAACTCATTAATTTATAAAAATATGCATACCTACTGGTCGACCATTTAACCATGCTGTATTTATAATCGAACACAGACATAAGTGTGTTCAAATGGTCTCAATAAAAACATGTTTAATTAATCAAAGTACTCTATGAATTTGTAAATACCTCTTCCAAAACATTTTTTGACTAATTTTTTAATTGTTATTACTCATATTTCTTTTTAGGAGTTCCACATGCAGCAGATCTATGGTATTTGTGGGATTTAAAGATTTTTGACTCGAATAATGAGAAGCTTAGAAAACCTATACTGAAGTGGTGGACGAATTTTGTTAAGTATCAGTAAGTACCATATTCCTTAGTATAGTATAAAAGTAATATCTGTGGGATATCATTGTTTAATATTTCTATATTATTATATAATATATGAATACGTATCCACTAGCATATTTAGTTGTAAGGATGACTTATTGCCAAGAAGTAAGGTGATCTCAATTTGATTGAGATCTTAGTTAACCTGTTTCTTATTTTACTAACCCATACTTTTGTTTCTGCTGTTCAAAATTAAACATAGATTCCTGAAACTGTCCAACTAATTATTTGATTTTTAACAACTTGTATATCAAAAACTACTAACTTTAGGGCAATAGTAGAACATACAGCCGTTCTTAGAAATTTATTATCTATTTAATTTTAACATAAAGAATATAGAATAACGTTAAACGTTATCCATTTGTTTTTTAAATGTTTAAATGTTAATGTTAAATGGATAAATTTAAAAATTGCGTGGTCTCGGCATTCCTTTCACATATATCGTATTCCTGAAATATTTAGGAATAGTCCATTTCAAATAGGTAGTAGTAATTACAATTATCAAGCAATTTAGCTCTAAATATATGAATAAGTATTTTTGCTTTGGTTACAGAATAATATATTAATTCTAATATTTTTCAGGAACCCTACACCAGATTCTGATGAAGACCTTCAAAACGTAATTTGGCCAAAAGTACAACCAAACGCTGTTAAGTATTTAGATATAGATTCGCAGTTCACGGTGAAGGAAAATCCTCGAAATTATTATAATATTAAGGCCCTATTGAATGATTACATACAACCACCATATATATCTTACTAAATTTTATATTTAGACGTTTACATGTTTTTGATTATAAATTTTAAGAACAAAATAATAAAATTATAATACAAAACTGCAAATTGTGTTTCAATCATTTATGCAAATAACAATCATTGAAAAAAATCAAGATACAATTGAAATTACAAAAGAAATAGAATTAATAGATACAACTTTGGCATTAGTCATTTGTGAGGATATTTCTACCACTTCATTTGTTACATTGTAACGACTATTTTGCTTACCACAGGGTAAGAATATGGGGGACAAGATTGGGCAAACAAAATAATCGAAACAAGTGCATACGGACATTCAGTAGGTTGTTGGAGAGCTGGGTCGTGGATAAGTTGAAGATATTGGGGGTTGGATTGGGCAACTACAAAAAAAAGAAATAAAGGGGTACTTATACAAATCTCTTAGGACAAACAGAATGAAAATTAACGGAAACACCTCAAGAAATTTAATATAGGGCGCCACTTGAGGTGCCCAATTATACCTATTACAACCACTAGTTGTAACTAGGGAAATAATTGTATAACATCAAAAATATAGAAAAAAAATATCTTTTTCAAATAAAAACTCAAAATAGATCAGAGAAACAAATTAAACATTTATTTTTGTCTCACCAAACAGTTTTCAAAAATACAGCTTATACAAAGGCATATTAAATAAAATTAGCTGTCAAATACAAATGAAAAAAACTTACATATCTGTTTACAAAAGGTTACAAAACTCTTCGAAACGGTTCTTAGTAAATAATTTAAAAAATAATTTATAAAAGAAAGCAAATTTTGTCTTTTTTAAAAGAAAATTCTATTTTTACTTTAAAAATTAATAACGTAAATGTTACCTCAGTTCACACATCTTAACTTAAACTTTTGAACAACTGGCTAACTTCTGCGGAGTATCTAACTGCACATCAACGGAAAGCTTTATTGGAAGCTGAAACTGGCACATCCAATCAAAACTGCTCCAATATTATTCTACATGAGGTGAAAAGGGCATCTCGGGAAGGAATTGGATTTCTCAAAAAAACGAAAAACAAACAGGAACTAAACTTGTTCATGCTCTCAAACATCATAAATCTTCAGCCAAAATAAAAACAGTGGTTACTGGTCACTCTTTCAGAAACGACATATTACTTAGAGTGAAAATTCCACCATTTTGGCGAATGAATGCCGGCTTACAACATCACAATTAAACGACTTTTTTTTCGAGAAGTTCTTCATCACTTCCTCTCAAATCTTTTACTCCATTCCCACATGTCTGCCCCGCTTGGAACTTAAATGTCGACTCCTCACATGTCTGCCCTGCTTGGGACTTAAATCTCGACTCTTTATCACATGTCTGCCCCGCTTGGAATCTAAATCTCGACTTCTCTTTGCTTCGTTACATTTTTCAAGAACTAGCCAAAAAATTTCCCTTCCGTCTTGCAGCTAACCTGTCCCCACAAACTCAAGAACCAAAACAATATCCCCTCGCTCGTATCGACAAAAAAACCCAACTTTTAAATGTTCCTTTATTGCCTAAACAAACAAATATTCTTTTTGACTCTCATTCTAATAACGAAAAACAACTTTTTGTCAACTGGAATATTAGGGGGAATTAATGTAACATAACACCTCTTTGGCGACAAAAAACTGTTTGTTTTACCTAACATTGCAACACAGAGATAAAAACATATTTCCAACGTTAATACGCATTTAAAAATCTCGTCAAAAAAAACTTGAAATATTTACAACGTACCTACATTTAACTTTATTGATCGATTTCTTGGTAGAAAACAACAGGGACGTACCATAGAAATATTTTATATACACAATAAATAAAAAAAAACGCTACAATGCCCCTTCTTAAAAGAAAAAACTCGGATAATTCTTATCCAGTTTTTGATAAAGGCAAAACAACAAAAACCAAATTAGAAGATGACCTCTTAACTGAGTCGAAACTTCTTAATAATATCTTTTAGATGATGGCTAGCATGGGATTAAACAACAAAAACAAAGTTTGTTACAAAGAATGGGCTAGCGTGCCATCGATCACCAGACTCTTTAAAGTCGAGTAGACTGAAATTTTTGACTCTAAAATGAACTGTAGGTGACATGAGTTTCTATGCCTTGGGGGAAGCTAACCTTATGCCCTGCAGTGAACCTCGCTGACATTCACAGCAGTAACACAAGTGATTTGTCGGGCAGGCATAGCCATGACACCTCGTTGCCTTAATCAAGTGCTATGCACAAATCCAAAATAAATTGCTCTACACTTAACAGGTTGGCGTCTACTATCTCTACTATACGCCTAGCGAGACAGGGAATTCGGCAACGGTTCTACAAAAAAATAATTAGGATATAGACCCTAAATCTATATACCTACATATGACAAAATGTGATTCTCACATGTGTCTCTCAATCAAAATAGATTACCTGAACTAAAATTATCAAAAGCGAAACAATATTCCAAAGGGATGAAATCAAATCAACATACAAACTCAAAAATATTGACATGGGATAGGATGAACTAATTACTTAAACATGACATATTGTCCTCATCTGATACAAAAGGCTTTAAATCCTTAATGTGCCACTTACCAAGATCCGAAACCATTTAAATCTGACAAACGATAAACCAGTGGTGACAATTTTTCCTTGATAGTTGCTTCAATATACTTCGGTGCTAGTTTGGACATAAACTTGTTGACAGCACAAGACAAAACCTTATTTCTTTTCCAAACTCTATTACCCACTTGAAATTGGACTTCTCTTCTACGTAAGTTGTAAGTTCTAGCGTTACGTTCATATCCTTTTCGAAGATTAGCCTTAACCTTTTCAAAAACTTTATCTATACCTTTGACTTCTGAAGCATACATGTTACGGTCACCTGGAATTATCTCGATATCTTGATTCTGTTGATCCTTATGATCAACACCATAATAGTTTCCACTTAAAGGAACATGACGGCCATAATTCAGGAAAGCTGGAGTATATCCAGTCACTTCATGCTTTGCAGTGTTAATAGCTTGTCTGATCTTTGCTAAATTCTTGTCCAATCTACGTGGTCTTTAAACATACGTACGTATTGCTGTACCAATGGTTCTATTGTTCCTCTCCACAAAATTACACTGAGGTGCATATACTGGGCTAAACCATACTTTCTGAACGTTATACCTATTACAGAGCTCAATTAAGAGAGGATTGTTCAGATTTGAGGCATTATCACAAATCACATATTGAGGAACACCAAACATTAGGAAACATCATTTTCCAAAAACTCAACAATATTCTTAGCCGTGGCCTTTCTCAAAGGTTGGACTAAAGTATATTTACTAAACCAATCAGCAACTACTAATAACCACGTATAACCTTTCTTTGAACGAACAAAGGGACCTATCAGATCTATTGCAACTACTTGCCAAGGAAACTTGGCCTCTCTCTGCTTACCCATTTTACCTAATGGAGCATAATTTGGTGTCTTCTGAGCATCACAAACTTTACACGACCTGACAAACTTAAGCACATCAACACGCATCTGGGCCAATAATATCTTTCCTGAATACGGGACAAAGTTTTGGAAAATCCAAAGTGAGCACACGTAGGTGGCTCATGACAAGACTTCATAACTTCAAACCTTTGTGGTTTGGGCACAAGAATTTTCCACTCTACATCATTAGTCTTAAAAGAATTTCTGGTAGGGGCAAACTTATAAACAAAATCATTCTCCACCTTCCACTGTGGAAAATCAAGGGGGGATCGGATTATCTTTGATCTCAAATTATCGAACCAAGGGTCTATTCTATCTACATTAACTTGTAAACAATTAACATGGGGACGACTATCAAAATATTTCTTTTCAAAAATTGGGCTCACTGATGACCTGTAAGGTCTATTGGACTTAGACCTATTCGAAATACAACACTTAGGACAAGAAGATATGATCACACCTTTGTGACCACAACGCCAACAAGATACTGACTTACTTCTACAGTCACGGGAAATATGACCTGGTCTATTACAATTGAAACAAATAATTTGTTTCGGATTTCTGGGAGCTTGATAAGGGACTGACTGCATTAATGGAGGTGGGAGGAAAAAGATTGCATCATTGGGGGTGGGGACGAAAAGACTGATTTCTTACTTCAGTATTTTCTAGTAGACTGGGTCTATTACTCTCATACTTATATTTGGGATTGGGTCTCTTAGAAGAATTTTCTCTGTCCTGTCTGTTACCTACTCCACTTCTGTCTTGGTTGGTTTGATTATTCCCCACATGAACTTGTTCTTTGGGCTTCTCTGAATCATCAATTGAAATACCTACAAGACCTTTAGTAGTCTGCAACAAGGGCAGGACATTCTGCTCTAAACGTTTTATAGTTGCTACTAACATTTCTACTGTAGCAAAATCTTGAAGGGCTATCAGTGGAATATAGTCCACTAAAATATTTTTCCTCATTATCTTCACTTTTTGGGCTTCACTAGGATATGTTTCCAAACGTTTAAAAAGGTTTTCCATCACTGCTGAATAAATGGTTATTGATTCGTTCCCTTTTTGCTTTCTACTTTTAATTTCTTCGAAGAGATTATCATTATAATCTGGGTGTAAAAAAGCAGATTTGAGTAGGGATACCAACTCATCCCAACTATTAATTTTATCTCTAACACTCCTATACCAAATAGCAGCATTACCTTCAAATAACTCAATGGCTGAGCGAAACAAGATGTCTTCGGAAATATTCCGAGACCTAGCAGAATCTCTAGCTTTTTCTAAAAATGTGGGAAGAGCTTTAACTCTCACCATTAAACTTGATATGTAAATCAGAAATAATGACAGGAGTTGAAACCTGTATTATTGGGGCTGGGACTGTACAACTGGGAACTACAGGGACTGAAACTGGGCTACTAGTGGATGGTTTTACTATATCATCAAACATTTCCTCTTTTTCTAACACATTACCCTTCAACACTAACAAATCATCTTTACACTCTTCAACAAACTTTAATACATCTTCC